CCGTCTAAGTCGTCTAACCAATGAGTTTTAGAAGGTGTATCAAGAGGTGATGCGACAGGCAAATCCGCTGTTTCACTCGACTCTTTCTCTTTTGTAGATTTCTGAACACTAAAGGCCCTCCAGCTGAAACCAAAATCAATAGTAACAGTAAGGAACAAATTTCCACACCTTGATCATTCTCACATAACCGGACAAATCATGATTTTGGGCATGAGTGTATCAGAAGGAAAAAAAGAGGAAACCTTTGTTCAGATGTTCCACATTTAGGCATCAAGCAACCAAATATATAGAGCGTACGCTCTTTGATATCCGAATTTTCAGTTGAGATTGGAGCATACACCTCAATGCATAGAAAGAAATCATAATTCAGGTTCTTAAACCTTGAAACCCAAAAAAAGAGTAAAGCTTTTGATTCGGACGAAGAACCTGAGCTACAAGAGAAAGTTTACTTCCACATGAACAACAATTGAGAAGTTCTGGTCTCAGTGCATCATCGTCGGGTAATGGCGGCCAATCCTAGAACCAAACTAGGATCAAAACCCATAAATTTTAAAAAGAATTGGAATTTCTACTGAGATGAACAGAGAGACGATAAGGGGGGTTATTACCGGAAGACCACCGATTTTGGTTGTGTAGTGATCAGAAGACTCGAGCTCATCTTCAGCCCATTGCCCAGGCAAGCCAAGAAAAATTCCGACCATGATTTACACTTCCTCCTATTAAAAGCACGACAGAGATCTCGGGTTTCGAAACTTTCGTTTTGTCGAACTTCGAAGTCGGTGTTTTCCAAATTCCGACTCTGCGGGTTCAAACAACTCTGCTCTGCTGAGGGTGAAGAAAACAGTAGAACTCGGCTAGGGTTGTAAGATAACCGGAATTTCTATCGAACCAATCATTTTGATTTCAATTGAACCAATTTTAATCGAAGAAGACGTTTTCTGTTCGGTTCGGTTCACAAAAACAAGAGATTAACTTGATTTCATCCCACTTAACTTGTAATCACAACATTTTTTAGAGAGTAAAGTTTCTTAATTTGAAGGAGAATATTTGGTCTTGCTTAACCCCCGAGTGTTTAGAAACATTAATACTCTCTGCATTTCTAAAAGTATAAATCTATATACATTCCCACAATAATAAAAACATCTTGTGACTGACATTTTGTTGTTATAAATCTGAGAGTCGTTTCAGTTTCAGTTCCATCTCTTGGAATTCTTGCTGGCCTTTGATTTCTGTTTAGACTGTTGAAAAGCTTGCATCTTCTGCTTCTTCCTCGCTTCTTTCTCTGCTTTTGACATCTTTGACTTTGCCTTCACTTTTGGAGCTTTCTCTTCTAGCTCTGCTTCTCTCTCCACCGCCTTTTCTCTTGCTTCCAGATTCTTCTCCAAGTAATACTGAGACACAGAGACAGAAACCACACATTCAAAACTACGCAACAAAAAGTTATGCAAACAGAGAGACATCAGATGGATGATACTAGCAAAAGTACAACTGTACATTGTAGTCGCCGGCGTAATCTTCCAAACAACCATCTTCAACTTCTATGACTCTGTTGACGATTTGTTTGATGAAGTATCTATCGTGAGAGACCGCGATGACTGTTCCTTGATACTCGTTAATCGCTTCCTGATTCATATAAAGATCCAGAGAATTAGCTTCTCTCCAGAGATTCAAAGAAAGGAAATAAAGGAAAGAAACCGAACCTCGAGCATTTCTTTTGAAGGAATGTCTAAGTGATTGGTTGGTTCGTCCAAAACGAGTAAAGTTGATGGCGTCACCATGAATTTGCAGAAAGCAAGGCGTGCTTTCTCACCACCGCTTAGAAGAGAGACCTTTCGATCAAGCATGTCGGCTTTGAAGTTGCAACGTCCAAGAAGACCTTTTATATCATCACTTCTCCAGTCTTCTGCAGCTTCACAGACTGTTTCGAGCACCGTTTTATCCAAATCAAGAACCTCGGCCTTGTGCAAAAAACCAACATCATGTCAATACAGTGACAAAACCTATCCCAATTGTTTAGGTAGAGCCAGTGAAACATACCTGATTCTGTTCAAAGTAGTTTGGCAGTACATTGTGCTCTCCAAGAATTACTTCACCTTTCGTAGGCTTCTCCAAACCCATAATTAGCTTCAATAACGTACTCTTCCCGCACCCGTTCGGACCAATTATAGCGATTTTCTCTCCTCTTTGTATTGTTAGATTAGCCTTTTTAAATAGCATCTGGTTTGCAACAAGGATACACAATTTTCCACAGGGTCAGACACGAGCAATAAAGGAATTGTGGTATTGTCATGACTTTGATTCTAGTAACTCACCTTATCCTCGAAACCAAAATCAATGTTTTTAACCGTGACTACCGATCTTCCACTTGTTCCACGCTCTGGAAACCTGATTTTCATCTGTTTCCGTTGAAATGGCTTCTCTATGAGCTCCTTTTCTTGAAGCTTATCTAGTTTCTGTTATAAACCACACAAAAGAAAAACATAAGCTTAAACTTCCCGAGCCATTTCACAAAGAAAAGAGCAAGTCAGAACAATGACATAACTGTTATGCTTAGGAAATCATAGAACCATTTCAATCGCTAATCACGGAAATAACTCTGCAAATTAGAAGCTTTGTTATGTTTCTGGAGGTTCCTTGCTAACCTTTTCTGCAGTAGAAGCCCGACCAGAATTTGCACCCGCACCAAGCCTAGCGATTAAGTCCTTTGTTGAGTCAATCTCTTTCTGTTGATTTTCCCAAGCTGCATTCTGAGTTTCAATCCATTCTGCCTTTGAGATTATATACTGAGAGTAATTACCCTCGAATGTCCTCGACACACCCATCTCGGTTTCCACAATTTTGGTACACAACTGATCAAGAAAGGCTCTGTCGTGTGAAATTATAACCATAGGAACCTCTTGCTTCTGCAAATAACCTTCAAGCCACTCAATCGTATCAAGATCCAAATGATTCGTCGGCTCATCAAGTAGCAGCAAATCTGGATCCTACTCACAGAAACACAAACAAGCTTCTAATTAGAAGCCACTCAAATGTGTGATTCTATAAAGCATCAAGAATCAATCAAACAATCATTACCTGAAGCAAAATCTTTCCAAGTGACATTCTCATTTGCCATCCACCACTAAACGAAGCTACAAGCCTATCTGCATCCTCTGGAACAAACCCTAATTCGGGCATCAGTTTACTGACCTTAGCATCAACAGTGTTTAAATTCACGGCTTGAGCTCGTGTCTGCAACAAATCAAACTCGTCTAATAACCTTCCCATAAGATCCAAATCATCAACAGATCCTTCAATCGCCTTCTGCACTTTCTCCAGCTTCTCAGTTATCTCCATCTCTTCCTTGAAAGCACTTAAAAACTCTTCCTTTACCGTCCTGCTCATCGAAACCTCGAATTCCTGGCTCAAGAAGGCGATTTTCATATCGTGTTTGACCTTGATTACATTACCTGAATCTGGTTCCTCTTGACCAGTGATAATCCTGAGCTGGGTCGTCTTCCCTGCTCCGTTCACTCCTACTAACCCTACTTTTTCTCCTTTTTTCACTTCCCAGCTCACATCTTTGAGAACAGTTACGCCTTTGTAGCTCTTCCTTATGTTCTCTAGCTTCACGCCTGAGGAAACCCCAGAAGAAGCTCCGTTTTTCGAATTCTTACCGTTTCGTTTCCGATCGGAATCGTCTTGTGTGATTGGCTTGGAGAAAAGCGATTCGATGTCGTCTTGACGCTCTTTCACTGAAGTTTCGAGGCTGACTGTGGAGACTTGGGATCTGATTGTGGGGATTTCGCGTCTAGGGTTGGAAATGGAGGAGATTTTGATGAAATTTGATGGGATTGGAGATGAACATGGACGGAGACCGGTAAAGAAAGTCGAACGGAGGTCGAGGCTATGGAGATTCGTTGATAAACCCATGATTTTTGGAGCGATAGAGAGAGAGAATCTCACGAAGAATAAGGCAATCTCACGAGAGAAGTCTCGCTCTCTACT